GAGTGCCTGGGAAGCGGCTTAGTGTAACCAGTGCCTCCGTGTCCTCTTCCGAACTGTGGCCCTAACAGGAGTTCTTCCCTCGTGGGTTCTGAGGAGGTTAATGAGTGAAGGCAGGTAGCTCTGACACTGGCGCCTGGGCCCGGTGAGTGTTGAATAAGGGTCAGTGATCAGGTGGCTTTTCCACGCCCCATTGGTGCTACCTGGATGAGAGAAATTGGAAAGATATAAAATTGAAAACAGGAGAAATATGGAAAAGGGGACCCAGGAGGTGTATTTGGATACACATTTCAAGGCTGGATCAGAAACTACCAGTCACTCTGTAGGTTTCTGTCTTCCTGGCTTTTCATTGTTCCCCAGCCCATGTTCAAGGTGACTAAGCCGAAGCTTTTGATGTGGCTCCTTCCTGCTTTTCTCCGGCCCCAAGTCCTCTCGCGTCTCCTCCTTCCTCTGCCTGTGACCAGCGGAACTGAGAGCAGCGCAGTCCGAAGGCTCCGTCCGACTGTGTGGCCTGCGCACCCACAGCTCGAGCAGCTCTGGCCGTAGCCCCTGCCTTTTCCTAACGTCTTCTCATCTTTCACGGACACAGCGCCCTGCCAATTGCCTCCTTATTCTCCTTTCCATTCCTAAAGGCGCCCCTTTTCCCAGCAATTGGCTTGAGTGTCCCACCCCCCCATCCCCAGCGCCGGGCCCTGCGCCTGTCACACCTGGTCAGGGGCAGTCCTGGCTTAAGAGGCGGTAGTCAGAGCGCATGCAGCTGGGTTGCTCCTGGACCTCGAGGTGGAGGAGGAAGCTGGGCTCTGGGGCTGTCGGCACCATGGACGCCTCGTGTGCACCCACGGAGAGCCCCTCTGTGGCAGAGTCGGTTCCAAGTGAACTCGGAATTTACACCCAGGTTGGACCCTAGGCTGGGCATCTCCCCTTCCAGAGGGAAAGTGGACTCAGGACAAAGCCACACATGCTAGCAGGTGGAGGCGAGAGAACCACAGTGCGGTGCAGCCCTAGCCTTGATGGTACTGCGAACCCCCAGATCACACGGTACCTGAAGCCTCCCTGTTGCTGCACTTTTCAGGATGGATGCCTTACATGTCCTTCAGTGCTCTAGCTCATTTGAAATAGGTTTTCTGTCACTTGTTAACAGATGGCCTAATGGGTGCAAAGGGTTAACTCAGAGCCCTCTCCTCCAGGAACAGTCCTTGAAGGCCCTCTCCTGGCTCTCCTCGCCTCACCTCACCACCAGAGCATCTTTGCAGAGCTGCACCTGCCCCGCTGGTCCACCTGCCTCTGGGCCATGAGCACCTACAACCCTGTGGGCCCTGGCTCGGCACCCCCCTCTTCCAGCCCTGCTATATCCTGCACATACTCACAGCTCTCTGCCAGCGGCACCCAGCGGGGCTGGCATGGCCTCTGGGAGGGGCAGGCCATAACTCCCACACCCCACACTGCCCGGGCCACAGCCAGGCTGCGCTGGGACAGGCGGGCCTGCGCGGCACAGTGCCTGGCCTCAGAGGCCCCAAACGCCTTCCTTAGGGATGCGCTCCCCGCTAAAGCCCCGCTGGTGCTGGCGGGAAAGCGTCCCTCCTCTCCTGTCCGTGCTGAGGTCTGCTGACCTCTCAGCCTCGCTCCCACTGTCCCACGCAGAAAGCCTCTGCTGGCCCCTCGGTGCGTGCACAGGCCCCGCCTCCGAGGTCCCAGCTCTCCTGGAACATGGCCAGGATGGTCGGCACCAGACACTCACATCCCTGTGCTCCTTGGAACAGCCAGGGGCCTGGACTGCACTGACGTTCACACTGTGTGTTTGAAGAAACAGCCAGAGAGGCTCCGTAAAGAGCTCCACATACATAGAGAAAGTCAGGGCCAAGCCCAGCTTCCAACGTGATTCACAATTTAATCACAAAAGGATCAACTTCAACTGCTGCTTCTGTTGTTGCTATTACTACCACCACAACTATTACTAACCACACTGTCCAACAACACCACCAATACCCCACAGCTACCACCACAACTATCACCACTAATATTCTAACCACACTGTCCAACAACACCAATACCCTACAGCTACCACCACAACTATCACCACTAATATTCTAACCACACTGTCCAACAACATCGCCAATACCCTACAGCTACCACCACAACTATCACCACTAATATTCTAACCACACTGTCCAACAACACCACCAATACCCCACAGCTACCACCACAACTGTCACCACTAATATTCTAACCACACTGTCCAACAACACCAATACCCTACAGCTACCACCACAACTATCACCACTAATATTCTAACCACACTGTCCAACAACACCGCCAATACCCTACAGCTACCACCACAACTGTCACCACTAATATTCTAACCACACTGTCCAACAACACCAATACCCTACAGCTACCACCACAACTATCACCACTAATATTCTAACCACACTGTCCAACAACACCGCCAATATCCCACAGCTACCACTACAACTGACCATCACTAATACACCACCACTACCACCAGCACCACTACCACTGCAGCTGCCAACACCACTACTACCACCACCACTACCACCAATAATACCACTACTACCACCATAACTACCAGCACCACCACTACCACTGCAACTGCCAACACCACTACTACCACCAGCACCACTACCACCAGCACCACTACCACTGCAACTGCCAACACCACTACTACCACCACCACTACCACCATCACTGCAGTTACCACCACCACTACCACCACCACTATCACTACAGCTACCAGCACCACTACTACCACCACAACTACCAGCACCACCACTACCAGCACCACCACCACTGCAGCTGCCAGCACCACTAGTACCAGCACCACTACCAGCACCAGCACCACGGCAGCTGCCAACACCACTACAGCTATGGAAGCAGGAGCAGCAGGGTCCAGCCCCGTGGACCTCTTAGGTAGACCTCCCCCCACTTCAAGGACTTGGGACTGAGGACAAGGTAGGTGGTATGTCCATCTTACAGACCAGGACTCCGAGGCCCAGAAAGCCAAGCAACTTCCCAGATTCCAGAGCGCACACACCATCCTCCCTCCCAGACCTCAGAGTCAGGCCCGAAGCCAGAAATGAAGGCCACATCCATCCCAGACTGGGAGCAGGACCCAATGCGCCCTGGTCACCGGGGAGATGCTGCCGGCGCCCAGGTCCCACACCCGCCGGCCTCTCACCCATATGCCCACGGCCAGGTCCCACACCCGCCGGCCTCTCACCCATATGCCCACGGCCAGGTCCCACACCCGCCGGCCTCTCACCCATATGCCCACGGCCAGGTCCCACACCCGCCGGCCTCTCACCCATATGCCCACGGCCAGGTCCCACACCCGCCGGCCTCTCACCCATATGCCCACGGCCAGGTCCCACACCCGCCGGCCTCTCACCCATATGCCCACGGCCACATTCGCGGCAAAGTACACGGTGATGATGATGATGTCAGCCAGGCTCAGCTGCGAGCTCGGGGCCCGGGGGTCGCCCGTGGAGTTGTCCACCGCCATCCTGCAGCAGTGCCTTCTCTGAGCCAAAGGGAATAGGGGCCGAGCCGGGCAGAGAGGACTTCCTGGCAGCAATAAATTGATCATTAAACCGAGCAAGACCAGGGCGTCCCCTGCCCCTGTGGCCGGGCAGGGCAACTGCTTCAGAGTTCTCTCCTCGGGGAGAACTGAAAGGGCGGGGGAGCAAGGAGCCTCCTTAAATTCAGAGGAGGTTTGGGGGAAAATAAAGAAAGTGTAGTGGATCCAAAGCCACCAGAATGTTCCCAGAAAGGCTGCTACCCAATGGGTGGCCCGACCTCCGTGTAGTTCCTGTGAGAAGCATGGAGGGCGGGGACAGAGGCCAACGCACCCACCGGCACAGGCAGCGCCCCTTCAGGGCTGGCATTGGGCGAGGGGACTGGGACGGCGACTCTCACATTCGTGGTTTACTTCCCGCCACAACAGCCTGGCCCCAGATTGCACTCATGAGGGGCAGTAAGAACCTGCCCCAACACCCTTCTAGACCGTGAAACAGGCCCAGGCCCCTCAGGGTGACCTCTTCCGGGCCGGTGTGGTCTTCTTAGGGCCATGAAGCGACCGGTATCCAGCGGGCCTGCCAGGCCGAGGCCTGGCTCAGCTTTCTGCAGGCTGTCCCTTCCTGTGCTCAGCAAACCACTCAGGTGACGTCACCCCAGCCGGGAACAGAGGGCAGGAGGCTGCGCCATCTGTCATTTCACTTAAGAGACAAGGCTGGGGTTTAGCTCCAGACCTGACTCCAGACCCTCCTTGTTGGTGGCAGTGATGGCTCTGGGCCCATCAGATGCCGTCGTCCTTCCGCCCTGATGCTCACTCACGAATTAAATCATGTGCAGCTGCGGGCATCGCAGTGACAGGGCCTGTGGCTTTGCAACACCTTTGGAGTTTGACCAGGACACTCGGCCCTTCCAGAGCCTTCATGGGTGAGCGGCTGCCACTGGGAACACGCTGGCCTACAAACCCAGCTGTGCCTGTTATTTAGTAACAGGGGGTGCGGGGTTTAAAATTAACCCCCTCCCACGCAGGAAACATTAAGTCACGGCTTATAGTAAGCTAGGGAAGGCTCAGGCTGCCCTCCCCAACTCCCTTCGCCTTCAATCAACTAACCCCTCAGGTGGCATTTACTTCCCAAGCCATCGCTAGAAGTGTACCACAAATCAAAAGGCCGCTTCTGACGGCAGAAGGATCCAGATGTATTAAGCATGTCTCTTAAAAATCAAGCAATTGAAAAGAACAGTGCCCTGGGCAGTGTGGATCAGTTGGTTAGAGCGTTGTCCTGTGCACCGGGAGGGCACATACCTAGGTTGAAGGTTCAGTCCTCGGTTGGGTGCATATGGGAGGCAACTGATCAATGTATCTCTCTCGCATTGATGTTTCTCTCTCTCTCTCTCTTTCTCTCTCTCTCTTCCCTCCCCTCCCCCCCCCCTCTCTAAAATAAAAATAATAAAAGTGTTTGATCCCTTCTCCTCAGCCTGGGTCTCAGAGGAAATAAACCTTTTAGAGAGAACACCCCGACTCCCTTCTGATCAAAAGTCCTGGAGGAGCCGGTGGGCAGAGCCAGGGAGAGCGTGGCAGGGGGGACATGAGGGAGCAATTCCACGCTCAAGCCCAGTCACCGTCTATATCCCGCCCCCATCCGGTCCAACATGCTCACACACACAGATCCAACTCTTCTGGCCAGGAGCTCTGCCCAGCCAAGAAGCCAACCAGATCACACCCGGTGAGCTGCATCCGTCCCGAGAGAAAGCATCACTGTCATATCTGAGACACCATCCAGCACCTGATGTGTGGGGTTTTCTACACCAACCGTCCTCCGTCTCTGGACAACGGGGTGTCCTGCAATTCAATTCAATTCTGACGCCGTCTCCCCGAGACTCATCAGGCTGCTCCTGCTTGAGGCGCCATGACAGTCCCAGGCCTCCCGTACTTCTAGCCAAACGTCCATAATCAGGGTTCCCACAGCCCTTCTTCAGGTTATAATTTGCCAGAACCGCTCACAGAACTCAGGGACACACTTTGCTGTTATGGTTATAATAAAGGTCTGATGGAGGTTACAGATGAACCGCCAGACAAAGAGGTCTGTAGAGGGGGGTTCAGAAGGGTCCTGAGCGCAGGAGCCTCTGTCCCCATGGAGCTGGGGTGCGTCACCCTCCTGGCACATGGGTGTGTTCACCGACCTGGAAGCTCTCCAAATCCCACTCACCGTGGACGGTTAAGGAGCTTCATCGCCTAGCAGGGCTGCTGAAGTCATGGGCCACTGGTGCCTGACTCCAGCCCCTCTCTCCTGGAGTTTGGGTGGGTGGTAGGCTGCCAGTTTCCTACCCTCTAATCAGCTTGATTTTTTGGGTTACCGTCCCCCATCCTTAAGTTATCTAGGGGCCCCCAGAAACAAGTTATCTCATTGTGGACGAAAGGGGCCACATGCTGACCTGACAGCTCAGGGGAGGCCTATATGGTGGTCTTGCAAACTCAGACCTAAAGTCACCACAAAGGATGGTCTGAAATGAAACTTTAACTAAAAGCAGTGATGGTGAGCAGTTACATCCTAGGCTGGAATCTTCCCTGACAAGGTCAACCTTTACCTTAACTGAGCCTATCTGTCTTTTTGCATCTATGATTACATACCCTTGAAATGTCTGGGTAACGTGTAACTTCTTTTTCTGGACCCCTTGGGCCACAACCTAATGTGCCTGGGTTCCAGGACAGAGACCACAAATTCCTTCATTGTTATGTTAATTGATTCTGTACCCACCTAAGTGTGTGTCTATCATTTTACTTTGTATCCAATCCCAGAGGTTTCCCTGCTTTGCTTCCTCCCGCCTCTCTAGTCTATCACCAATGGATTTCATGTAACCTACCTACGTCCCTCCTTTGATTGCAAAGTATAAATACAGATGTAACCCACCATTCTCCAGAGCATTAGCTCAATTCACTGAGGTTGTGCTTCCCAGCATATGTCGACAGTTTGGCTCAAATAAACTCACAAAAATTCTTCACAGGTTTCAATGGTTTTTTTTATCATACAAAAGACACTCTTATCACTCTGGAAATTCCAAGGGTTTTAGGAGCTATGTGACAGGATCTGGAACAAAGACCAAGTACAGCCATTCCCCTCATAACCAAGTTTTGGCAAGGATGAACTGCATGTATTCTGGTGGTAGCCATAGAGCCATGTAGATGCTCTATTGTTGCAGAAGACCACAGAAAAACCAAGCGACGCTTTAAAGAAAAGGAGGGACACTGTTTAATATGCCAGCGGACTCAGGGAATAACTTTCCAAATCTGAGTGAAGAAACATGCAGGGGGCTTCTCTTTATATCCCCCTGTGGTCTTTGTCCTGCAAATATGGATTATGCTTCGGGTCCTTTTTGTGGGCCTTGCAAGAAGGCCCCCAGGTGTTGGGGGTCTCCAGGCCATATCTGATGGTCTGGCCTGGCACCAGCGTTAATAATCCTCCCTCTGGGGCAGTGCATTGTTCACAGTTTTATGACCTCTGTAACAGGTTCTGCAAGACCAGTTTCTGGGAAGGAGGTAGTGGCTTAATTATAGATTATCAGGAATGTACACTGAGCTTGCTGGCATGGATTCCAATTGCTAGCCCCCCAAATATCAGGGTTACATTGGAATTAGCCCTTTTTAGCCTTTTCTCTATGATGTTTACACAGTGACGAATTCACCTAGGGATGCATGTCTCAGCGCATCCCTGTCATCAAGGGGCACAGTTGCATTCATTTTTTTTTTATTATGTTACAGCCCCAGATTCATGAAAAAACGTCTTTTGGACAAGGAGGGGGCTGGGCAGGAGGGGGGTTGGCTGGGGCCAAAGCAGGGGGGCTGGGAGCCCCTCTCGGGTGGGGAGGAGACATCTATGCGGTTATTTCCTCTCTTGGTGCCTCAGAATGTGCAGGAGTCTAGCGGCGGCGACCCACATGGATGAGCTGGAACGAGCTAAAGCAGGTGTGCTATCGCGTCCTTCTGCCCAGCTGTGGGCTGCACCCTCCAGCTGGTGGCTCCTGCTTTTGCAATAAACACAGTGTTGCCAGTAGAAGTGGGGTCCTTGCAGTGTGCCGAGAAAAACATTTTCGGGGACCCACCAGGGAGGGTGAGGTCTGGCGGTGAGACGTATTTGGGTGGAAACGGAAGGCTGCCTGTGAGAAATGCTCACCTGTCCGAATTCAAATCCTGGGCTGGGAGACAGAGGGGTGGCAAAAGGCCTTCTACCAGCTCTCAGCGGGTCCGTGGCAGCAGGCTCACGCGGGGCGGAGGACTCGCCCGGGGCTGCGGGCTCAGGCGGGGCGGCGGGCTCACGCGGGGCGGAGGACTCGCCCGGGGCTGCGGGCTCAGGCGGGGCTGCGGGCTCAGGCGGGGCGGCGGGCTCAGGGGGGGCGGCGGGCTCACGCGGGGCGGAGGACTCGCCCGGGGCTGCGGGCTCAGGCGGGGCTGCGGGCTCAGGCGGGGCGGCGGGCTCACGGGGGGCGGCGGGCTCACGGGGGGCGGCGGGCTCACGGGGGGCGGCGGGCTCAGGCGGGGCGGAGGGCTCACGGGGGGCGGAGGGCTCAGGCGGGGCGGTGGGCTCAGGCGGGGCGGAGGGCTCACGGGGGGCGGCGGGCTCAGGCGGGGCGGAGGGCTCACGGGGGGCGGAGGGCTCAGGCGGGGCGGCGGGCTCACGGGGGGCGGAGGGCTCAGGCGGGGCGGCGGGCTCAGGCGGGGCGGAGGGCTCACGCGGGGCGGCGGGCTCACGCGGGGCGGCGGGCTCACGGGGGGCGGCGGGCTCAGGCGGGGCGGCGGGCTCACGGGGGGCGGCGGGCTCAGGCGGGGCGGAGGGCTCAGGCGGGGCGGCGGGCTCACGGGGGGCGGAGGGCTCACGGGGGGCGGAGGGCTCAGGCGGGGCGGAGGGCTCAGGCGGGGCGGAGGGCTCAGGCGGGGCGGCGGGCTCAGGCGGGGCGGAGGGCTCACGCGGGGCGGCGGGCTCAGGCGGGGCGGCGGGCTCACGGGGGGCGGCGGGCTCAGGCGGGGCGGCGGGCTCAGGCGGGGCAGCGGGCTCACGGGGGGCGGCGGGCTCAGGCGGGGCGGCGGGCTCAGGCGGGGCGGCGGGCTCACGGGGGGCGGCGGGCTCAGGCGGGGCGGCGGGCTCAGGCGGGGCAGCGGGCTCACGGGGGGCAGCGGGCTCAGGCGGGGCGGCGGGCTCAGGCGGGGCGGAGGGCTCAGGCGGGGCGGCGGGCTCAGGCGGGGCGGAGGGCTCAGGCGGGGCGGAGGGCTCAGGCGGGGCGGCGGGCTCAGGCGGGGCGGAGGGCTCAGGCGGGGCGGCGGGCTCAGGCGGGGCAGCGGGCTCACGGGGGGCAGCGGGCTCAGGCGGGGCGGAGGGCTCAGGCGGGGCGGAGGGCTCAGGCGGGGCGGCGGGCTCACGGGGGGCAGCGGGCTCAGGCGGGGCGGAGGGCTCAGGCGGGGCGGAGGGCTCAGGCGGGGCGGAGGGCTCACGCGGGGCGGAGGGCTCAGGCGGGGCGGAGGGCTCACGGGGGGCGGCGGGCTCAGGCGGGGCGGCGGGCTCAGGCGGGGCGGCGGGCTCAGGCGGGGCGGCGGGCTCAGGCGGGGCGGAGGGCTCACGGGGGGCGGCGGGCTCAGGCGGGGCGGCGGGCTCACGGGGGGCGGCGGGCTCACCTGGAGCAGCAGCGGGCAGTTTTCTCTACTGCGCCGGAGTCCCTCCGGGTCCTCGCTGGCCGAGTCCTGTGGAGTTTCCAGACTATCCCGTAGGTCACCCAGGTCTTATGTCTCCTACTGGGTGTTTTTAAAAATGGGCAGAGTCCTCTTCTAGGTTTCTCTTCCTCCCTTCGTCCAGGCGGACCTTCCAGGAAAACGTGCTCCAGTCCCCTGTGCACAGCCTCCCGCGTCCTGTTTGCCCGGGAAGCTCGGGACCGACGGGCCGCCTGCTGCTTCCCGTCTATGAGGACGAACCGTGGAGGCCGGTCTCCGACTCGCCCCCGGGTCCCCTGCCCCCTCGGCCCACCGCTCTGCGTCCCGTCTCGCCCTCACCAGGCCCGCGCTCAGCCGGTTCAGGGGCGCTGCGCGTTGGTCCAGGCCGAGGCCCTGCCGCGGTCCACCCCGGCTGGCGCAGCGCACCCCGGCTGGCGCCCATCCGCCCCCGCCCCCGCCCCCGCCCCCGCAGCTGGAGGCCCAGGGCTGCCAGGAGGAGAGGCTGCTCACAGGGAGGAGCGCGTCTCCGTCAGGCTGATACTCCTCTCTACCCGGGACAGACCAGGTGATGCTAACCAACCACTCAACTTCCCAAGCGCTCCTGGCTTCCGGTCTCCAGCCCACCTACCGGCTTCCTAGACCTCCTGCCGCTGTGGTCCTTACCAGCCCCATCCCTTCCCCAGGCTGCACCCACAGGCTCCTGCGGCCCCCAACTTTACTTCTGCGCATGTGCTTACCTCCCCCTCCCGCCACGCTCGCTCTCCCCACCGGCGAAGGGCAGGCTGCTCCATGCATGAGGTGGGGAGCTGGGGTGCTGCTAGTCCCCTGGGCGGGGCAATGCGGGGAGGCCCTGGAGGGGGTGCAGCGGTTGCTTCCTGGTTGAGCAGGCTTCTGCCCCCTCGTTACTGGGCTGATAATGTCTTAAGCTCCCTTCCTTTATTAACATCTAGCCACCTATGAACACCTTTCCCTCCTGAGGACCGTGGGCCTGTGATCTTAGACGGTAAAGGGTGATGTCTCTTCTTTAGCATCTTCTTGCTGTCCAGGCGCACAGTCCTGCCTCTGCCCAGGCCCAGGAGCCTTCAGTCCTTCGGATCTGCCAAGGAAGAAAGCAGCAGAAGGGAGTGGGCATCTTCACACCGGGAGGAGGGGCTTGCAAATCCAGATCATCCTGAAGGCAGTAAGGGGACCGTGTTGTTGGACAAGCTAGCAGTGCCATCCAAAATGAGGAGAAATATAGCCAATAACGGTCTGGTGAGGTAAAAGGAGAGACCAACTTTACAGTGTCCCGGGTCAGGGTGGAGGAGGGACGTCCCTAGTCCCTGAACAGAAGGTGTGTCCCACCTGTCTGAAGCCTCTTGTTTACCATCCTTAATTCAAGTTCAGCTAGGGGAGTATGCTAAGATTTTCCCTCTAAGAACTCTGGGCCGTTTCTGTCTGAACAACTTGGGCAGAAGGGACAGAAAAGCCGAAAGACCGCTTCGTATGTCACTGACTCCACCGTCTCGTCCAGGCCAGTCAACCTAGCCCTGCAGGTGGGCTGAGTGAGGCCTCGCCTGTGTAAACAGCAACAGGTAATGAGGTCACAGGCACCCACCCTATGAAACAGGCGCAAGAAGACACGAAGGTTACTGAGCACAGCACATCACAAACCACTTTCTGAGTCTGCAAGACTCAGCTGAGAAGACTTTCAGATGCAAGGCTTTTGCTGGAATGAAGCGCAGTGACAACCTGATAGATTCTCTTTGTCTCCAGTTTGAACGTCTCTGGCGACGTCCTCAGGTGCTGAGGGATATTCTGCATGGCGTTGTTAGGTCTGGTCAAATCATCGAATCGATAGCCCTGGGAAACCGACTTTTAGATGGTTTTGCAACCGACATTCCCTTTCACTTAGACCATATTCCACTTGCTAAGGCCAGTAACTCTCCCCTCCAGACTTGCCCAGGGTCCGACAGGCCCAGAGAATTCCTGCCCGCCAAAAAAGCCGGCCCGGAGTCCTTTAAAACCTCTAATTCCGCGGTTCCTGGGTGCTGGCGCCATTTTGGGGCTCAGCCCATCTGGTTTCCAGATGACCTGATAAATTCATAATTCTTTACCCCTTTCGGCCTCGTGCGTTCCTCCTTCAGCAACCCTGACAGCCTTAGGAAAAAGTTTTAGTTCTCAATAATTCCTAGTCTGGAGATGGGAGATGAAACAGGTTTGGAGGATTAGCGAAGTCAGGAACCGGTTTAGCTCACAGGTAAAAACAAAACCTGAAGACAGTTACCTGCACGTGAGTCCAATGTCCACAACGGGGCGCTGTAAGTTCTATTGAAACACAGTTCCTCTCCCTAAAATGACCTTATTTTCACTGAAGAGTCTGCATTGAGTCTAATTTCAATCTGGCCTGATTATTTGCATAAACACAAGAACAGAAATGGATCACATAGGTTCTTTTATTTTTATTATTACTTTCCCATTGATTCTTTTAGAGAGAGAGTGGAAGGGCTAGGGGAGGGAGAGAAACATCGATGTGAGAGAGACACATCAATTGGTTGCCTCCTGTTTGCACCCAGACCGGGGCTGGGGATTGAGCCTGTAACTGAGGTACATGCCCTTGACCAGGAATTGAACCTGTGACCCTTCAGTCCGCAGGCCGATGCTCTAACCACTGAGCCCCGGCAGGGCAGGTTTCATAGGCTCTTTTAAGTCTGCTTTGCTGGAATCTCCAGCTTGAGCTTTACTCATCCCCTCAGGTCAAAGAAGCCAAGTCACACTGTTGTCATCAGGCTTTGACTGCAATTACCAATAGATTTGGGTAAATTCCTCAAGTTCTTGTCTTAAGGTTCCTCCTTTGCCATCTCTCAGGAAAGCAACCTTCATTCCTTACCTGGAAAGTCTGCCATGAACCATGTTGAGAAGTGTTAGTAAGAAGCTAGAGAAATAAGGGAAACAGAGACAAAATAAACAAGGACCAACTATTTGAGCCATTTATTATCTTCCAAGGAACTGGCTGGGGGCTTAGTTGGTTGGAGTGTCACCCATACACCAAAGGTTGCGGGTTCGATCCTCAGTCAGGACACATATCTAGGTTGCGGGTTTGATCCATGGTCGGTATGCATATGGAAGGCAACTGATGTTTCTTTTTCTCTCCCTTCCTTCATCTCTCTAGAAATCAATAGAAAAAACATATCCTAGGATGAGAATTTTTTTAAAAAGAAATTGGTTCAGCCCTAGCCAGTTTGGCTCAGTTGATAGAGTGTTGGGCTTCGGACCAAAGGGCCCTGGGTTCAATTCCGGTCAAGGGCATGTGCCTTGGTTGCAGGCTCCTCCCCCACCCCGGCCCTAGTCAGGGCTTGTGCAGGAGGCAACCAATCCATGTGTCTCTCAGATCTATGTTTCTGTCTTTCCCTCTCTTTCCCACTCTCTCTGAAAATCAATGGAAAAATATCCTTGGGTGAGAATTAACAAAGAAAAAGAAAAAGAAAAAGAAATTGGTCCATTAACTGGGTATCAAGTTTGTGGACATGGAGTTGTGTATAGCACCCCTTCATTATCACTTTGATATCCATGGGGTCTGTAGTGATGTCCCCTCTTCGGTTTCTGGTATTAGTCGTTTATGGCCTCTCGTTTTTATTAGTTAGCCTGGCTAGAGGCTTATTTTTATTCTTTGTTGTTATTGTTAATCCTCAACTGATGATACCTTTTCCATTGATTTTTTAGAGAGAGTGGAAGGCAGGGAGGGGGAGAGAGAAGAACATTTATGCAAGAGAACATGCCAACTGGGGCCGGGGAATGAACCTGCCACCCAGATACGTACCCCTGACCTGAACAGAACCACGACTCCTTGGCCCAGAGGCCTACACTCTTAACCATTTATCCACACTGGCCAGGACTAATTTTATTCATCTTTTTCAAAGAACCAATTTTTGGTTTCATTGATTTCTCTATTGAGTTCCTGTTTACAAGTTCATTGGTTTCTGCTCTATTTTTAATTATTTCTTCCCTTCTGCTTACTTGGATTTCATTTGCTGTTCTTCTCCTAGTGCACACCCCTTGTGTGTATCCCTCTGACCAGAAGCAGCCATCAGCCCAGTTGCCCACGCTGCTGACTCTGGCTTCCACAAGCTTATGCAGACTTCTGCTTGCCACGGGGCTGGGCTGAGGAATGGGTATTTGCTGCTATGCTAAGAGTTCAGAAGGACCAAAAGTAACCACGATGTGCCATTCAAGACTTCCCTGGAAGGTGCCCACAGTCAAGACTGCAGGCGCTGCATTGGGCAGATTTTGCCACTGCAGTCTGTGCAGACAGGGGGGTACCTGGTGCTTCCTGCTCCATGTTGCCCAAATGCGGTTTGGTTTTAGTATTTCTCTCTATGGATGTTCTCTATGGAGTGAGACATCACTCTCACGGATTCCTTCACCTCTCTGAGCATATTTAAGGTAGTTCTTTGTAAATTTTTGTCTGGTAAGTCTGATTGGACTTCCTCACAGGTGGGCCCAACCTTGTTCTTTTTCATGCCTTCAAATTTTTTTGTTGAAAACTGGACATTTTGCATATTATGATCAGGAAGCCTGGAATACAAATTATCTTCCTTCCCCAGGGTTTATTGCTGCTTGTAGCTGTGTGGTGGCTATTCTGAACTATTTTTGTAAAGTCTGTAGTCTTTGTTGATTGTGGCAACTGAAGCCTCTGTTGAGTTAGCTCAGTGGTCAATGGGTGAGTCACCACAGACTTCCTTAACACCTTTCGTACCACTCATGAGCTTTCTCGTGTTTCGCGAGCCATCTGTTATGGACCCTAGATGTCAACACACTGTCTTGTCCACATCGAATGAAGCGATCTCATTGGTGGAAACCGTGCAGGTCAATCTACGAAAAACTATATAATTGCACGAGCCCATAAAGCATTGCAGTTACATTGTATTTTGGTCATTCGAATAGTCTTCGTCTTCAAGTTCCTGGCGCTTTTAGAAATGCCCTCTCTCAGAAAAAGGAAGGAAACCAACGAAACTGATACACTTCCTTTCGTGTTGTTCCATTCTAAGGAAAACGATGAAATGGACAAAAAAAGTAGTGCTGTAACTTATAAACTGTGGACTTTCCAATTCATTTAGAGTGTACAACGTCCTCAATCCACAAGCAAAAATGAAGTATAAACAGTTTCTGCTATCGGTGGCGAGAGACTGGATAACGGATGACAATAATGAAGGCTCTCCGGAACCAGAGACAAATCTGTCCAGCCCTTCACCTGGGGGCGCAAGGAGAGCACCTCGTAAAGATCCACCCAAAAGGTTGTCAGGTGATATGAAGCAGCATGAACCTACATGTATTCCAGCGAGTGGAAAGAAAACATTTCCTATGAGAGCCTGCAGAGTTTGTGCCGCCCATGGAAAAAGGAATGAATCTAGATACTTATGTAAATTTTGTTTGGTCCCTCTTCATAGAGGAAAATGTTTTACGCAGTACCATACGTTAAAAAAGTACTAGGAACTTTGTCTTTGTAAATAAAAATGTTATAATTATTGAAAAACAACACCTGAAGTGCATTATGATCTGTAGTTATGATTTAAAAAACGTGCAGTTTGCCCAAAAACGTGTGGTCCCTGGCGTATGTCTTAGAGATTTCTGTGCGGTACGAAATGTGTTAAAAGCCTTAAACCCCCAAAATAAAAATAAAATCTGTCTTCAGATGGGCTCTAAATGTGTTTGGGACATGCCTTCCGCACTCAGCCATCCCTGCTTGCTTGGGCAGAGCCCAGGGTCAGTGAAGGAGGAGATCTCAGGGCTTTCTCGTGGGCGGGATGTGCTTGGAATGATTGGAAAGAGCACGGGGCTGTGGAGCAGGGAGCTTCCGTCTGAAACCTGGCTCCATGGGTCAGTGGTGAGCCTTTGAATATAATCAAGAAATTATGTGAACCAAATGAGAGCCATGCTGGCACACAGTCGTGGCTCAGTTGATGTTTGTGCATGCGTTCATTCCAAGAGCATAGTTCTCACCCACATTTGTTTGTCCAGAGTGACGACATCACAGAATCAAGAATAGAAATTATTAGCGTGGTTTTTTTGTTGTTACAGAATTTATAAGTTCAACTCCCCATATTTCTGGCTGATTAAGTAGAGATGGTAGTTTGGAGGGTAAACGGGACTTCTCTGGCTCAGGAAAACCCTACAACAGACAAAAATCTGGTCACCCTGGTTTTCTCTGGGAGGGGACCTAGGTGGCTGAGGGGCTCTGTGCTCTTTGGCCCTCAGGCCCCCTGTGCTTCCCACCTCCTGCACTTGTCCCTGGAGGGCTTCCGTCCTGCAGCCCCAGCAGCACCTTTTCTCCTGCTCTAGCCGTGGGGTATGACATAACGCTCACCACACCCCTGGGCCTCTGCTCCTCATTCCTTCTTCCTCCTCTCCACCTACTACCCTTGCTGAGCCTGACACGCACAGCCGCTTCTTCGCCATGCACCGCCACCCCCTGCTAAGGCCCGAGGGCCCGGCCTCAGCCCCCACTTCATGGCGTTCTTTCAGGGGTTCTGCACATCCCTCCAGAGGCAGCTCTGGGCAGATACCTGTCTTCGTGGATTGGAAGGGCCCTAGCTAGCTTTACCATAAGTGCATCACAAGAGGAAAACATACCATTACAGGTTTCATTCACGTCTCTTCTATAAATTTGACCTTTCTTCATGAAACACCAAGAAAAAGCATGCATATATGATAACCCATGGACAGACAATAGGGTGGTGAAGGCCTGGGGTGGGGGCGGGCTAGAAGGAGTCAATGAGGTAAAAAAGGGGCATATGTAATACTTCCAACAATAACAATTAAAAAAGAAAAAGAAAAATCATGCAGGTCAAACCTCATGGGACACAGCCACCTATAGGAAATTTCCTGCTGAATGAGCTCAACAGTAATATGGTAGCAAAAGGGCAAAAGATGGGGGGGGGGGGGGGCGTGTGTGTGCATAACATAGCCGAGTCGGAGGATGTGAGGTTTACTGTGAAGCTGCTTCAGCCATTTCACACTCATTTCAGAAGGTCCAACAGGTGCCTGTTGGCTCCTCTCAGGGGCGTGTGTGTGTGTGTGTGTGTGTGTGTGTGTGTGTGTGTGTGACTGAGACACCTGACACCCAAAGCTCTTCTTCCAAATGTGGTGATTGGTCAGAGGATGGCACCTGCTAACCAGAGCTGCACCGGCCAGCTCTCCCTGTGCTATTTCCAAAGCTCATTTATGAAGATCGACACCCCCATTTCTAGGAACAGTTTCTCAAAAAGCAAGAACACATGTTCAAAGTGGACACCTCTATTAGGAACTGGATTAGGAAATGGGAAGGGAGGTGGTGAGGACACCTTTGCTCGGGAGTAAAATGTGGGGCCTGGGCACTGCATGAGGTGAGTGCGGAAGGGATGTGCAGGCCTCGAGTAGCCCGGGAGCTGCCGGAGGGGGTCTCTCGGTGCTCAGCACACACAGGGCTCCAGGCCTGCTCCCAGCAGCCACCCTACTTTCGGGGAGTGCCAAGAAACCCCAGCATGGCAAACAGTAAGTGGCTAAACTCAACTTTGTGTTAAGTCGACTATTTTATTCCATACTAGTGACCCAGTGCACAGATTCGTGCTCATCAAAAGGAAATTAATTAGGTGACTGGTGGGGCAGGACTGGGCAAGACGGGCTGGGCATACCCTGGAGCCAACCTCCCACCGTCCCTCCCTGGCCGACTGCACCTGGTGTGTCGCCATGGCTCAAAGGGAGTCTGTGGGGTCCCTCCAGCCGGTGGTGTCCCTCGGTCAGGCTGAAACTGGCCCTCCAACATCCCCTGAGGAGTTCCGGAGTGAGAGAGGGCTCTCTGCAAAGTTGCTGTCGTATAGGGTGTGGAAAGCAAACGCAAGTGTGCAGTAAACCAGATTCGGGGTCAACAGTGCCCCAGCAACATGACCCATGGCTGAAGGAGGAATCACGCAGCCCCACAAGGAATCGGGCTCCCTCCTCTCTGGTTTTGGGGTGCGTCACCCAAGAACCACCGCTGCCAAGACACTGCAGCTTGGCAGCTCTTGCATTGAGCGTCTGCCCCCTGATGATCAGTGTGTCATAGTGACCGGTCGGACGGTAGGAGGGACACTTAGCATATTAGCCTTTAATATATATACTAGAGTCCTGGTGCACAAAAATTCGTGCACTGGGGCGGGGGGGGGGGGTCCCCTCAGCCTGGCCTGTGCCCTCTCACAGTCTGGGACCCCTCAGGGGATGACCACCTGCTGGCTTAGGCCCGCTCCCCGGGGGATTGGGCCTAAGATGGCAATCAGACATCCCTCTGGCAGCCCGGCAGCCCTTGGGGGATGTCCACTTGCCAGAGGGGAGCAGGCCTAAACTGCAGTCGGACATCCTTAGCGCTGCTGAGGAGGCAGGAGAGGCTCCCACCACCACCGCTGTACTGGCAGCCATCAGCCTGGCTTGTGGCTGAGCAGAGCTCCCCATGTGAGAGCACCCTGGCCACCAGAGGGCAGCTCCTGCATTGAGTGTCTGCCCCCTGGTGGTCAGTGTGTGTCATAGTGACCAGTCATTCCCAATCTTTTTGCTGTTAGGGTCAGTTTGCATATTACCCTTTTACTATATAGATAGAGGCCTGGTGCACGGGTGGGGGCAGGCTGGTTTGCCCTGAAGGGTGTTCCGGATCAGGGTGGGGGTCCCGCTTGGGTGCATGGCCAGCCTGGGTGAGGGGATGATGGCTGTTTGCAGCTGGTCACACCCCCTTCAGGGTGGCGGTCCCCACTGGGGTGGCTGGCCAGTCTGGGTGAGGGGCTGAGGGCCGTTTTCAGGCTGGCGGGTGACTGAAGCTCCCAACCTCTCCTTTTTTCTTTTATTCTGCGATTTATTTACCTTCTATGGCTGTCACTGGAACTGAGAGCCGGCTTTAGCTCTGAGGCTCAGCTCCAGCTCTTAGACTTCGGCTGCTGAAAGCAGGTATCTGGGTTTGTTTGGCTTCTATAATTGAAACACTGTTGCAACTCCAGCTCTGAGGCCCGGCTGGCTGAAAGCAGGTTTCTGGGATTTGTTTAGCTTCTATAATTGCAACACTGTTTCTTAGAGTGCAGCGGCAGGCAGGGAACCTCCATCACTGGAGCAAGCAAGCCTCCTGTTCGCTTCAGCTGCCTGGCTGCCGGCCGCCATCTTGGTTGGAAGTTAATTTGCATATCTCGCTGACTAGCCAATGGGAAGGGTAGCAAAGTTACGGTTAATTACCATGTTTCTCTATTATTAGATAGGATAGATTCTACTATAGACAGGCAGAAAGCAAAGGTTTAAGGTTTTTTGGAAGAGAAAGTCAATTTTTACTCCATGAATTGGGTGGGACTTAGAGGGAGAACACACTGGCATAGCTAAGGGGAGCTCAGCAATCCAGCCTGATGAACTCTAAGGCCCAAGTTTCGAGTTCTAAACTGTTACACGCTTGGCACTGACAAGAATCACATCCCCTGCCCTGCGACCCCCTCCAGCATCTCATCTCCAAGGGCATGCAGTGCCACATTCTGTTTGGAGAATGGCTCTGCTGTCCTACAAGGAGCAAAGTCCCTCCCCACCCACCCACCAGCCTGGGGATGATTCCCTCTCCTGCCAAATGACTGCATCTAGGAACGTGCGGGGTTCGGTACATCCCTATGAGGCTACCGTGTCATCCCACAAGTTGCAGCAGAGAAAACTTAATCAATGTGGCGAACATTTCAACATCCACAACATGTATATTCAGCTTTCATTTTATTTTAGTTATAAAACAATTGCCAAAACATAAAGGGTAAAAAATCACACACAAACACAGTAAGTTTTTATTCCTTCTTTTGTTGCAGAAAATAAATAATGGTCACATATTCCATATGCTTATCTATAAAAGCATTTCTAAAAATGTTATTCCTGGACTCAACAGCATAGGTTTTTTGGCTTTTCAATTGCAGGTATCATACAGTAAGTAGACCATTTTATTTTATTACATTTTTTAAGCACTTGGGCTGTAACAATTTTGGAAAAAGGCTGTTTGTGGGCTTAAAAATCTTCTTCCAAGTTATATTTTATATAGTTAAACTAAAAACAATAAGGTCTTAACTTATTTTATTTAAGAGGATACAGTTTTTCTCTTATAAAAATTGCCCAAAATACTCACAAATACCCACATCGACAAAAAAAGTTGGTCTATCTTCATAGTAATTAACAAGAAAGGAACAAAACACAAATGGCCCCTGGGAAATACATCAAGTCTGGCCTGATATCTCACAGCACATTCTCGCGTTCCAGTTTGCCCCTGGGAGTTACAAGGAAAGACAGCTCTTCAGTCATCTAAGCCTATGTTCCTGAAAAGGTAGGACATGGACTCCCCGTTGTGAATCCGGCGGATGGCTTCGGAAAGAATCATGCTGATGTCCACAGTTTTGATTTTGGGGCACTGGAGCTTCTGGATTTCGTGTGGAATTGTATTGGTAACCACCACCTTGGAAGCAAGAGAAAAAAACCAAGAGCAGCATAAAACCAAGTAGCTTCCTGGTGCAACCTGGAAATCTGATCTAGTCTCAAATCTCTGAAGAGGACAGCGGGTCTACCATACCTTCATCAACATTTCAGTCCATGTTTCTTAGCCTAAGATCTGCTAAGCTTAGGCCCACTAGTACAGCTACAGGCAAAAAGATAATAAAGTGTTCACAAGGGCGCAGAGAAACTGGAGCCCCTACATCACTGTAGGGATGGAAAAGGGTTCAGCTGCGTTGGAAAACAGTCTGGCAGGTCTTTAAGAGTTTAAACATAGGGTCACCATATGTCCCAGCAATTCTACTCCTAGGTATAAACCTAAGAGAAATGAAAATACACATTTATACAAAAGCTTGTACACAAATATCCTACCAGCATTATTCACAATAGTCAGAAAAGTGCAACAACACAAATTCCCATGAATGAAGAGGTAAAAATGTGTTTTTTCCATACAATTCAGCAAAAAACAATGAAGTAACCGACACACACGCTACAACATAGATGATACCACGCTGAGTGAAAGGAGCCAGACAGAAAGTACGTGTAGCATTGCACGACTGCACTGGTGTGTCAGGTCGGGACTAGGGAACCCTATAGACACAGAGGAGAGTAAGTGCAGCAGCTGCCTGGGGCTGGGTGGGTGGAGGCGAAATGGAAGGTGACTGCTAACGCCCATGAGGTCTCCTTCCAGGCGCAGGGAAATGTTCTAAAATTGGTGATGGTGATGTACAATTCTGTGAATGTACTAAAAACACTGAATCATATATATTTTAAGTGGGTGAAATGTATAGTATGTGAATTACATCTCAATAAAGCTGTTATTTTAAAAAGTTAAGATTTTATAAAAATGAAAAAAAGAGAAAACAAGCACTTTTCAATAGCTACAGTGGAAAAAAAAACTTAAAAAAACACATGATGGGAATAATTTTTATTACTTATACATTCCCTACTTCCAAAATAAGGCTCAAGACAGTTCACACTGCCCTAGCTGGTGTGGCTCTGTGGATAGAACGTCAGCCTGCGGACCCAGGTTCAATTCTGGTCAAGGGCACGTACCTTGGTTACAGGCTCCGACCTGGCCCAGGCCCTGGTCGGGGCGCGTGAAAGAAGCAACCAATCGATGTGTTTCTCTCACATCGATGTTTCTCTCTGCCTTTCCCTCTCTCTACCACTCTCCCTAAAAATCAATGGAAAAATATCCTTGGGTGAGAATTCACACACGCACACACGCGCGCACGCGCGACAATTTACACTATAGAAGCAAATACAGACCCAACCGGTGTTGCTCAGTGGATGAGCACTGACCTATGAACCAAGAGGTCATGGTTGGATTCCTGGGTCAGGGAATTTAGGTCAGGGAACGTGCCCAGGTTGCAGGCTTGATCCCCAGTGGGGGGCATGGGAGGCATGCAGGAGGCAGCTGATCAATAATTTTCTCTCAACACTGATGTTTCTTTCTCTTTCCCTCTCCTTTCCTCTCTAAAATCAATGAAAATATATTTTAAAAAATAAAAGAACCAAGATGACAGTGTAGGTAAACGGCGGTACGCATGCCTCCCACAACCACATCGAAATTACAACTAAAATACAGAACAATCACCATTCAGAATTGCCTGAAATCTCGGGGAATGGAAGTGCTACAACTAGAGAAGGAAAGAAGAAGGCACATTGAGACTGGTAGGAGGGGGCAGAGGCGCGGACCGGCTGAACTTCCATGGTCCCGCCTCTTCCAAGCTCCAACACCGGGGGACTCAGACACATGTGGAAAGGAACTAGACTGACATCAGGTCAGAAACTTGGGGACTGCTTTCTTCCAGACGAAGGTGCTTGCAGGGTCACGCCCGCCACCCCACCCCCACCCTGTCACAGAGCTGACTGACAGCCATATCTGAGTCTCCATGAGCCTGCAGCACACTGTTTGCTCCACCTGATGACTCCCTGAGACCCTGCCCCATCCAATTTGCAGCCCCACCCAAGCTGTTTGCAGCAGCTTTTCCATATGAATGGCCTGTCCTGGCTCAGGTTTCCGACTGCTAAAAGCAAGCTATAGCTGGTGTCAGCGTGCCCCAAACCTATCATTAAAAGGCCCAAGACCTGGCACTAGCACCAGCCTGCCTTGCTTCCCAGCTGGGCCTTGCCTGGGCACCTCAAAGCCCAATACAAATAGCAAATAGCAGCCAGGTGGCCCCAGGCAGTGGCTGACTTTGCACCTCTGTGGAGGCCCCAGAGCCAGTGCACCTGGTGGACAGCTCAGACCATAGCAGATTACAACTCTACACACCCACAAGCAACACACTCAAGGGGCAGACTCAGTGAGCACCAAAGCCCCACTTGAAGCAAGTCCTGCTCCAAAGGGTTGTCTCCTGCATAGCAGCTCATCCACTGTAGTTGAAGCTGGTCCTCACAGCCAATTGGCCTGGAGTTCAATCCCTCCCAGTGATGCCAACAGCAATCAAGGCTCAACTACAACAAGACTGTGCACACAGCCCATACAGGGGCACACCTAGAGTGCCCAGCTCAGGTGACTGGGGAGGCTGAGCCACTGGGCCCTACAGGACACCTACAACACAAGGCCACTCTACCAATCCCAGGAGATAAAGCAGCTCTACCTAATACATAGAAATAAACACAGGGAAGCAGCCAAAATGTGGAGACAAAGAAACGTGTCACAAATGAAAAAAATGGAAGCAAGCAAACTACTGAATACAGAGTTCAAAACCACAGTTATAAGGTTACTCAAGGATCTTTATGAGACTTTCAAGGATCTTAGTGAGAATGTTAAAGACATGAAAAAGGACCAGTCAGAAATTAAGCATACACTAACTGAAATAAAGAATCATTTACAGGGATTCAACAGTAGAGCAGAGGATTCCAAGAATCAAATCAACAATTTGAAATATGAGGAAGCAAAAAACATCCAACCAGAAGAGCAAAAAGAAAAAAGAATCCAAAAATATGAAGACAGTGTAAGGAGACTCTGGGGTAACTTCAAGTGTACCAATACTAATATTATGGGGGTCCAGAAGGAGAAGAGAGATCAAGATATTGAAAACCTATTTGAGAGAAAACTTCCCCTACCAGGAGAAATACTTACATGTCCAGGAAGTAGAGAGAGTCCCAAACAAGAGAAACCCAAAGAGGCCCACACCAAGACAAATCATAATTAAAATGCAAAGGGCTAAAGACAAAGTAAGAATCTTAAAAGCAGCAAGAGAAAAGCTGTTACCTACAAGGGAGCACCCATATGACTGTCAGCTGATTCCTCAACAGAAACTTTGCAGGCCTAAGGGAGTAGCAAGAAATATTCAAAGTGATGAATAGCAAGGACCTACAACCAGGATTACTCTTCCCAGCAAAGCTCTCATTTAGATTGAAGGTCAGATAAAGAGCTTCCCAGACAAGAAAAAGCTAAAGGAGTTCATCACCACCAAACCAGTATTACATGAAATGTTGAAAGGTATTCTTTAAGAAAAGGAAGAGGAAGAAGAAAGAAGAAAGAAAAAGAAGAAGAGATAAAAAATATGAATAAAAAATGGCAACACATACATATCTATCAAAAACTGAATCTAAAAATCATGCCCTAGCAGGTTTGGCTCAGTGCACAGAGCATCAGCTTGCAGACTGAAGTTCAGGTCCTGGGTTTGATTCTAGTCAGGGCACATACCTTGGTTGCAGGTTCTCTGGCCCTGGTCCAGGTTCATGCAGGAGGCAACCAATCGATGTTTCTCACATAGATGTTTTTTTCTGTCTCTCCTTCTCCCTTCCACTCTCTAAAAAAATCAATATAAAAATATCCTCGGGTGAGGATTAACTAACTAAATAAATAAATAAAAGCTTAAAAAATCAAAATAAATGAACAAGAAATCTAGTGAACAAAATAAACTGGTAAATAAAATAGAATCAGAGGCATGGAAACATGGAACAGACTGATGAATCTCAGAGGGAAGGGGATGGGGACACGGGAAGAGATTAACCAAAGATCTTACCTATGGACACAGACAGTAGGACGGTGAAGGCCTGGGGTGGGGCAGGGACCAGGTGGAGAGGGGCAATGGGGGAACAGGGAGATATCTGTAACACTCTCAACAATAAATATTCTTAAACATAAGTTAATTAAATTTTTAAAAAAGAAGCAAATACAGAAGGCGATGCTACAACAGAGCTGGACAGTCAGACATATGCATTGCCAGCACTGGGGACATGAAAACCTAGCCTTAAGTAATTACTGACTAATCATTTGGCACTTGAACTTCCTGGTAACTAAACAAAAATGGAAACATAAAAGGTTATATAAGTCTCATTATAAGTTTCAAAGGAGGGAAATACCTCCCCACTGGTATCATTGACTGCACCACTCACACAGAACGAAGGCGCAGGGGCCGGGCTGGCAAAGCACAGCCTAGAGTGCGCTGTGGTGACCTTGTGGGCTGTTTTTCTCAATAAATTAACCACCCTCAGTGAAAAATGAATTTTCCAACTTTATTCTAACCATTTTTTAAAATAACAGATTTACTGAGATATAATTCCCATACCATACAATTCACCTGCTGTTTTCTAAGGTGGACAATAATTTTATTTTGTGCATGCAAATCAGGTACTGCCAACTTTTCCATCAATTTCCTCTCAAACACTGGAAATCATGATGCTGTTCTCTGGGGACAGCCTGATTCATCGCCATAAAGTGCGCCGTTCAGTGGTTTGGAACATTCAGAGCGGTGTCAGCATCTCCCCAGAAAGCAGCCCTGTGACCTGAGTTGCACTCCTAGTGACCCTCCCGCCACCCCAGCAACCACGAATGTACTATGTGTAGGTGCCAATCTGGGCATTTAACTACTTTCAATTTTAAAGAAGAAATAAAAACACTTCAAGCACGACTTATCAACTCCAAGCACTATCTACTGGCTCCTGCTTGGAAAGAAATTAGCTTTCTTCCACTTCTCCCAGCTCCCACCTAACGTGTTGATCCTGCCATTACTGTTCAAACTGTACACACTACAGAGCAGCTATGTTCTGAGTGTAAGTGTGAATGAGACCCTTTGCTTCCTAACCAGCTCAGCCACTGGTGCCTTGTCCCAAGGTGGTTCTGCACATCAGTGAGTGCTGTCAGGACACAAAGGCACCCGGGGCGGCCCTCCACTCACCCGTCAGACTCGCCCGGCCTCAGCTGGGGCCTCGCTTCCTTGGAACCACACTCTGCTCCAGGAAGCCGGGCTCCAGCAGCCCCTCTGCACCTTGCTCTGCTTTGCTATTTCTAACAGGCCCCCATGCAGCACCTGTGAGAGCTGGTCCTACTGCCATGTGGACAGCCCGGGGTGGGGGGGGAACGACGATGCTGCCCTGGGCCAGAAGGCTTCTCACTTACTTAACATGTGAATTCCGTATTGTCAGTTTTGCCTCCTTGAATGCCTCTAATGTCATTCTCAGTTCTTCATCCAGCTAAGCAAGGAGGCTGGATTGATTAGAGACATGCAAGTCTGGCCTTTGGTCTGTACTAAGGCATCTTGAACCCATCAGACAACAAACAGAGAGGCAGGCTCAGGAGATCTAATGTGAAGAGTAAAGATGTGAGACTTGGCCCTAGGAGGTTTGGCTCAGTGGATAGAGCGTCGGCCTGCGGACTCAGGGGTTCTGGGTTCGATTCTAGTCAAGGGTATGTACCTCAGTTGCGGGCTCAATCCCTGGCTCTGGTCAGGGCCCATGCAGGAGGCAACCAATGGATGTCTCTCTCTCACATCGATGTTTCTCTCTCTCTTGCTCCCTTCTCTTCCACTCCCTCTATAAATCAATGGGAAAATATCCTCTGGGGAAGATGAACAAAAACAAGTTTTGAGACTTGGAAAAGTAAAAGTTTAACTAATTTAAGATTCAATAGCCAGGAATCTATGGGGACAGCACTTTTACTATTTAAGAGAGAATAAAAACGTGATTTACATGCCAATCCCGTTTCCTGGTGAGCCTCTGGAATAAGGGAGGTGCATAAAGCAGGGCTAGTGCACCGGACAGCCTTTCTGCCGCCACACGGGAGCCAGAGGTGGCTGAGGAAGATCGCCTATGGCTTCCTCTCCTAATCTCACGTCACAGGCAGCTGCACTTGGGAGAGAGGCGGCTTTGGCATCAGGCAAACAAAGGTCTGAACCGAAATGGCTCAGCCTAGAAGCTGCCAGGCCTGCCGTCACCGGCTTTTCTGATGCTCAATGACTCCTCTCCAGGTGCTGCTGGGGCCTTGCGGCTGCGAGGAGCTCAGAGAGGGGCCGCACAGTGCAGTGCCAGCACAGACTCCTGCTCCACTCCCGAGCTATCAGAACTGTTAACTACCACTATGGGCCAAGGACCGAGGCTATAGTGATGAAACACAAACATAACCTGGGTTTTTAATCCATTCTTAACTACAAAATAGCTCCTTCTTCACCACCCTCTGTAACTACAGCTCAGAAGGAGCCAGGTGGCAGGGCAGGTGTGCCCACACATGCTGGCTGTTACCTCGTCGATGGCAGATTCCTCAATCAGTCGGGGGGCATCGGAAGATAACAAGCCATGCGTCGCCATCACGAAGATCTTATATGCCCCTCTCTCCTTCAGGGTCTCTGCTGCAGCGAGAAAGCTGTCCACGTCATCGATAATGTCATCCTGTCAATTACAGATTGAGCACATGAGCACGCTGGTAACAATGGGTTTGGACAGCCTGGAAAAGAAAGGGTCTAATTTCTGGTAACAAGTTTGCTGTTCCGTTTTAACATGTGCAGCTGCACGCTGCACGCTCGCACTGCACTCCCTCCAGCCTTCAAAGCCACCCTGCAGGCCTGTCACTCACAGCGGCCTTGTCTCTGCCACCTCCATGCTCCCTGGGGCTTCCGGCTCTATATCCCCACGTCCAGAACTGTGCCCGCACCATGCAGCTGCTCCAAATACGTTTGCTGAATGTTTTTGTTTTTTAAATACACAGTAAAACCATAAGACTGGGTGGTTCTTCCTCTTTTCTTGCTACTTTTCCTTATTGTCCAAATTTTCTCCACTGCGCTTATGGGAAATACGTGTTTTTTACATGTTTGTATAATGGGGGAAAAAACCCTAATTATAATTTTTAACAATGTACCCAGTTCAGTGGTGTCTAATATACGGACCAATAATATCTAGGTGAAGGCCTCTGGCCTTGGCGTCTGGGACAGGGCTCCTGAGACCTGGTAACTTCCTGGGTGATAGGACCACCTTTGTTCTCATGGGGTGATGCTGGGTGGCCCCTGGGTGGGGCTGGTCGCTGGAAAGAACATTCCATGACCGGAGGCCTGGGAGTGTCGCCCCTCCCCTATTCTCAGCCAGGGGAGAGGGGCTGGAAATGGAGCGAATGCCGGCCTTGCCTCCACGAGGAAGCTCCTAAATCCCAGGAGTAGGGGCTGCAGAGAGCTCCCAGGTCCAAGAACCAGGAGGGTGACACACCCAGCTCCACGGGGACAGAAGCTCCTGAGCTCGGGCCTCCCAGCCCTCAGCCTCTGTCGCTCTTCACCTGGCCGCTTCGTGTCCTCTGTCCTGTCCTTTAATAAAGTGGTCAGTGTGCCCCCTGGGCCTGCGAGCCGCCCCAGCAAATTAGCCCAACCAAGGAGGGGTCGTGGGAACCCCCGTTTGTAGCCAAATCATACAGAAGTTGTGGGTAACCTGTTACTTGTGAACAGCAGCTGAAGGTGGGGGCAGCAGTCTCCTGGGGCTGGGCCCTTAGCCTGTGGGATCTGGCACTATTTCCAGGTAGACAGATTCTGAGCTAAACTGCAGCAGAGAATGACTCGATGTGGGGAACCCTCACACTCCGGGGACCAGAAGGGAAGTGTTTTGTGAGCAGTAAAGAGACACAGAGGAGAAACAGGAAAAAAACCTGCGTCTTTCCTGTTATACCCAGGCTACCAGCTATTTCAAGCCCATGAGGGTATCAAGCATTGTCCAAGATTGATTAAATATTCATGTATTTTATATACAGAGTGGGGCAAAAATAAGTTGATAGTTGTGAGTATGCAAAACAGAGTTTATTCTTGTATTAGTATTTATTAATAATTGTATTCTTTCCCCTATGAACAACTATAAACCTACTTTGCCCACCTTGTGTGTATGGATATATATACAACTCTTTTAAAATATATATGGACTAGAGGCCCAGTGCACAAAAATTTGTGCACTCGGGAGGGTCCCTCAGCCCGGCCTGGGCCCTCTCGCAGTCTGCAAACAGCTGAGGAGGCGGGAGACGCTCCCACCACCACTGCTGTACTGGCAGCCGTCAGCCTGGCAGTGACCAGCTCTGGTGGGAAGAAAGCAGAGAGGCCAGGGAAAGCCCTGGGCGCTGAAGGGAACACGCCAGTGTTCTTGCTCCAAGCTGAGCAGTGAGTACCCATGTGCTCAGTTTATTATTTAAACTATAATATAGGTATTATGTATTCTTCTGTGCACTGGCTTTGTGCAGTGAGAGAGGATGTGTGTCTTAAACAGTTATAATCAATTTTGTATCCTATTTTGATCACAAAACAATTTTTCATGTTATGATAAACAGCTAGTTAGTTAACAAAGTAATTAGCAATTAATAAACTAATGGTAACAATTTTCTGTTTTTGGACCAACATAAACATTTAGTGCAAGGCACCAACTCAAACAAATGAGACTTACCTGGACATACCACTAACCCCACACAATTAACAAATAAGTTAACAAAATAACAATGGTAAATAAAACAATTAATAATAAAAGAAGTTTACATACCACAATAATGGCGATCCTTCCTCCCACATCACCAACAACTGTGATTGGGGGCTTTTCTTTAGGAATCAGCACTGGTCAGAATAAAACACATGCACAGAAGTTTCTATATTAAAAAGCCAAAGCCTTTAAAAAGTCAGTGTCTCATTATAAAAAGACCCCAAAAACTAGAAATAGAGGGAACTTCCTCACTGATAAAGAGTAACCATGAAAAACTCAGCGCTAACTTCATATAGTTAGTCAAAGACTAAAAACTTTCCCCTAAGATCAAGAATAGGACAAGGATGCCCACTTTCCCCATTGCTAGTCAACACTAGACTGGCTGTGCTAGTTAGGGCAATTCTACAAAAAAAGAAAAAAAATCACCCAGATGGATAGGAAGTAGTACTTACCTCTATATCTATTAGCAGATGACATGATCCTACATATCTATATAACAAAAGCCTAAGTGACCGTTATGGCGGAACGACCAGAACAACCAATTGCTATGAGGCGCACTGACCACCAGGGGGCAGGTGCTCAATGCAGGAGCTGCCCCCTGGTGGTCAGTGCGCTCCCACAGGGGGATCACCACTCAGACAGAAGCCAGGCTGATGGCTGACGAGCGCAGCAGCGGTGGTGGGCAGTAAGGAGCAAGGGGTCCCAGATTGCGAGAGCCCCGGACTACAAGAGGGCGCAGGCCGGGCTGAGGGACCCCGCCCCACCCAGTTGACAAATTTCATGCACCAGGCCTCTAGTAGAAAATAACAAAGAATCTACAAAAAAACTACTAAATACACAAATTCACTAAAGCTGTATGTAAGATACAAGATCAACACACAAAATTCAATTGTTTATACACACTAGTAATGAACAATCTGAAATGGAAATTAAAAAACCAACTCCATTTAAAAAGTGACAAAGAGAATAAAATACCAAGGAATGAATTGAACGAAGGAGGTGAAAGACTTGTACACTGAAAACTATAAAACACCGTTAAAAGAAATTAAAGAAAACACAAGGAAAGCAATCCATGTTTATAGGTCAGAACACTTAGGATTAAGACAGCAATGCTTCCCAAAGGGGTCTGGAGAGTGAATGCAACCCTATCGAACCCCAACTGCTGCTTCTGCAGAAATAAACTGAAAATAAAATTCATCTGGAAACATAAGACCCCAAATAGCCAAAATCCTTTAAAAAATGGAAGAATAAAGGTAGAAGACTCACATTTTCCTATTTTTAAACCTATTACAAAACTTTATTATTTTATTTTTCAATTACAGTTGATATTAAGCTTTATTAATCAACAATGTAGGTAATGGCATAAAGATAGACATATAGATCAATGCAACAGAACTGAGTCTAGAAGTAAACCCAAACACCTATGGCCAATGGGTTTTCCCCCAACTTTATGAGATATAATTGGCATCTAACACTGTGTGAGTTTAAGGTGTACAACCTCATGTTTTGATACACATATGCATTGAGTGGCCAGATTATTATGACCACCTGATGTTTGTAGGCAAATTAGCTATAATTTCACACTGAAGTTGCTAAAGGGCCAGACCATTATAAATAGGGAAGCAGGCTGTTTACCACGACAGTAGAAATGACTTTTTTCTGAAGATGTGGGTAAACAACTCGATTCTAACAGCCTTTGAACATGGGATGATTGTTGGTGCTTGGAGCCATGGAGCAAGTATCAGCAAAACAGCCAAAGGCCTGTTCGAACACCTTTGCTGTCTGCAGTTACCAAGCTAAAACGTCTCCAATTCGCACAGGAACACAAGGATTGGACAGTCGAGCATTGGAAAAAAGTCATGTGGTCTGATGAATCACGTTTCTAGTTGCATCATGCAGATGGCAGAGTGAGAATTTGGCAGAAACAGCATGAAAGCATGCACCCCACATGCATGAGTACAACCCTTCAAGCTGGTGGGGGCAGTGTTATGGTTTGGGGCATGTTTCTCTGGCATGATTTGGGCCCTTTAATTCATGTGGAACAACGTCTGAATAGCACAACATACCTAAGTATCATTGCTGATCAGGTTCATCCTATCATGTTGATGGCATATCCCAATGGAGACGGCTTCTTCCAACAAGACAATGCGCCATGCCACGGTGCTCGTATTGTGCAGGAGTGGTTTCAAGAACATGAGAGAGACTTTACCTTGCTTAGGTGGCCCCCACAATCACCAGATCTCAATCCAATTGAGCATTTGTGGGACGAAGTTAAAAGAGCCATCAGGCAGCTGGTTCCACAACATCAAATCTCACAGAACTGGACAGTGCTATCCATCAGGCATGGTGTCCGATTCCTCAAATCACCTTTCAACATCTCGTGGAGTCAACGCCAAGAAGAATCGCCACAGTATTGAAGGCAAAAGGTGGCCCAATGAAGTACTGATGGGGTGGTCATAATAATCTGGCCACTCGGTGTATATTACAAAATGATTCCCACAAAAATATTAGTCAACACATCCATCACCTCTCATGATTACAATTTGTGTGTGTGTTGTGAACACTTCAAATCTACTCTCTCAGCAACTTTTAAGTATATAATACAATACTATTAACAACTATAGTCACCATGACGTACATTAGATCTCCAGAACTTACACATTTTCTAACTGGAAGTTTGTACCCTCTGACCAACATTTCCTCCATTCCCCAGCCCTGGCCACTACCATTCTTCTTTGTTTCCATGAGTTTGTTGTTGTGTGTGTTTTTAAGATTCCACATGTAAGTGAGATCACACATTATTTGTCTTTCTCTGACTTATTTCACTGAGATAACACACTCAAGATCCTTTCATGTGGTCACAAATGGCAGGATTTCCTTCTTTTTTATGGCTGAATAATATACACATTTTCTTTATCCATTCATCCACCAATAGACACTTAGAACTGATTTTTCATAAGGGTGTCAGGAACATTCAGTGGGGAGAGAAAAGTCTTTTCAATAAATGGTGCTTGAAAAATTGAAGCTGGACCCCTATCTCACACCATACACAAAAATCAACGCAAAGACCTAAAAATAAGAGCTAAAACTATCAAACTCTAAGTAGAAAAGCTGGGAGTAAATCATCATGACCTTGAATTTGGCAATGGATTCTTAAGCTATGACATCAAAAGATAAGCAACAAATATAAAAATAAGTAAACTGAACTAAGTAAATTAAAGTCTTTTGTGCATCAAAGGACACTATCAAGAAAGTAAAGACAACCTACAGAATGAGAGAAAATATTCGCATATCATGTCTGGTAAGAGTCTATTGTCCAGAATATATAAAGAACTCTTCCTATATAATAAAGAACTAATATGCAAATTAGACCAAACAGCAGAACAACCTTCCAGACAAAGCCGGGGCTGTAAGGGCCGAGCCTCTTGAATGAATTTCATGCATTGGGCAAAGGATTTGAATAAACATTTCTCCAAAAAAGTTAAACAAATGGACAACAAACACATGGAAAGACACTCAACATCACTCGTCATTAGGGAAACGCATATCAAAACTACAACGAAGTACCCTGTCAAGCCCACTTGCACTCTAGGTAACTGAGAGTGCCCCTCAGGGAGAGCTCTGTTTATATAAAGCTCTGTGGTTCTCATTTCCCCTTCCTTTAACTTCCTTTCCCTTCTATAAATGCCCTCCATTCAGCACGCAGGCCGGAGTGCACCCGGCTTCCCATATCTGCATGTACTAGGTTGCAAATCTTCCCTTTTCCTGAATAAATCCTTTTTGATGAATTGATATTATTTTTCAGTTAACAATAACTATAATAACAAAATCAGAAAATAAGTGTTAATAAGGATATGGAGAAACTGGAATGTTTGCACATTGCTGGTAGGAATGTAAAATAGTACAGCTGCTATGAAAAACAGTTTGGTGATTCCTCAAAAAAATTAAACATACAATTATTATAGGAACCAGCAATTCTAATCCTAGGTATAGACCCTGGAGAAATGAAATTATATGTTTACAAGAAACCTGTACATGAATGCACACAGCAGCATTATAGTCAAAGTTAGACACAGTCCAATATCCATCAATGAATGAATGGATAAGCAAACTGTGGCATATCCATACAATGGAATGTTATTCAGCCTTCAAAAGGTATATGCATCTTCGGATGAACTCCGAAGACATGCTAAATAAAAGAAACCAAATGCAAAGGTCACACTGTATAATTCCACTTAGATGAAATGTCCAGAATAGGCACATTCACAGGGACAGAGGCAGAGTGAACTCCCTGGGGCACATGGGGTGTGATTACTTAATGCAGCGGTTCTCAACCTGTGGGTCGCGACCCCTTTGGCGGTCGAACGACCCTTTCACAGGGGTCGCCTAAGACCATCCTGCATATCAGATATTTACATTACGATTCATAACAGTAGCAACATTACAGTTATGAAGTAGCAACGAAAATAATTTTATGGTTGGGTCACAACATGAGGAACTGTATTTAAAGGGCCAGAAGGTTGAGAACCACTGACTTAATGGGTAGGAGTGTTCTTCTGGGTGATAAAAAGTTTGAAACTAGAAAGAAATGGCAACACTCTGAATGTACTAAATGCCAGTGAACTGTGTATTTCTCAATGGTTAATTATGCTAAGTGACTTCTACTCCAATCTTTACAAAAAGGTCAATGTCACTAAAGAAAAAAGTAGGACTGCTTTAGATCAGTGCTTCTCAGTCTCATCACCACTGACACTCGGGACAGATAACTGGTGCGGGAGCTGTCCTGTGTGCTGGAGGATGTCTTAGCAGCATCCCTGGCCTCTATTCACGGGATGCAAGTAGTGACCCCCTCAATAGTGACAATGGAAAAAATGTCTCCAGACATTTCTGTCTTCTAGGGACAAAATCCATACCACCCCCTCCCCCAGTTAAGAACCACTGCTCTAGATTAAAAGAGATTAAAGACAAGTGACAATGAAATGCAGTATGTGAACCTAGGTCGGTATGGGGAGAGAGGGGGCAGAAATGTAAAGCTAAACAAAGCAAGATAAATTCCAAAACTAAAGAAATTTTTTTACATTTCCTTCCTTCCTTCCTTCTTTCTTTCCTTCCTCCCTCCCTCCCTCCCTTCCTTCCTTGAGAAAGCTAGAAACATCGATGAGAGAGAATCATTGATCTGCTGCCTCCTGCACGCCGCCTACTGGGGATCACACCTGCAACCCGGGCATGTGCCCTGACCGGAATCAAATCCGGGACCTTTCAGTCCACAGGCCAACGCTCTATCCTCTGAGCCAAACCAGCCAGGGCTTTTTTTTTTTTTACATTTTCAGCACTCTTTTTCTCAAGGATTTGACCCCAATACTGGTGAAAGAGTATAATGGTATATAACCCTTTAGAAAGTGATTCATCAATCTCACTTTTAGAAACTTATAATGAAACTAGAGGCCCAGTGCACAAATTCGTGCACTGGTGGGGTCCCTCAGCCTAGCCTGCACCCTCTTGCAACCTGGGACCCGGCAGCCCAACATCCCCCAAGGGATATAGTGCGTGAAGCAGCAGGCAGCCAGTCACTTTGGCTTTTAGATAGATAGATAGATAATAGATAGGTAGATAGATAAGCCAAAGTATGAAAAAAGGTTATTTCTGCTACATAAGTTAACTGCAATATTATATTGGCAAAGACCAGGAGAAAACATACATACCCCACTTCAGCAATCTAAGCCACACCCATAAGATTGGCCTACGAACCAGGAGGCCAAAGTTATATTCCTGGTGGGCACCTGCCGGGTTGTGAGCTCAATAAGCCACATTACAAAAGCACAAAGAAGCAGGTGAAATTAATTTTCACCATATATTTTATTTATTCCAATGTATCGAAAGTATCATTTTAACTTGCAATCAATAAAAAATTGATGAATGGGATCTTTCATGTTATGGCTTTCACATCAAGAGTGGGTGTCCTCCACACTCCCAGACACCCCATCTCCTACTCACCCCGTTACAATGGCCAGGAGCCTCCATCGTGACAGAGCCCAGCACCGCCTGCGAGGTCAAAGCCCTCCCACCATGAACTTGCCTTAGCTTCATGGTCTCCCAAATCTGGCCAGCCTATTTCTTGTCTCTCTTCCAGGCAATTTACCCCAATATGGGTGCAGGCCTGGACTAAGAAGACACCCACCCCTCAACTACTGCCTCCAGCCTGAGAGCCTGCACAGCTGTTTATAATATAAGTATATTAAATGGCATCCGAAATCCTCAGCGGTCTGCTCCAGCGGAGTCCTGCTACCGTTTCCCTCTCTCCTCCCTCTAAGGGCCTTTGGTAAGGAGAGTGCTGTACTTCCTGGCCACACCCTGACCAGACACAAACCCAGCCCTTGTCTCCAGAGCCTGCCCTCTTGCCCCCCACGCTGTCCTGGCACCCCGATTTAACCCATGCTTCAACACCTCTAGCCCCACCTCAGCTAACTGAGGCCCACAGGCCCAGCTGCAATCTCAGCTCCTTCATGGCTATTCCAGTCCACTCTTTCCTCCTCTAAGTTTTCTCTACAGATAAATGAGCAAACTCCTAGACAAAGCAAGAACCTGAAGGGGTCCAAAATACTCCCCAGTGGCATACAAAGTGTTTTGAGCAGAAGGATCTAAATTTCTAAATCTCTTATCTGCCTAAAAGCAGAACCTCCAAAAGAACTCATTGGTCATACCTCCTTTCCAGGAACAACCAGGCAGACTGACTCAACACCACACCCAGACAGACACTGTCTCGCACCAACCACCTCTCCCACCCATCTCCTAACCTCTCACTGATCTTTCCAAAAGGTCATTTGTTTTCCCGTTGTGTCCTCATCTTCTTCCCTATTAAAATGGTGTATACCACTGATAGGCCCCAAATTCTAACCTCCTCCTAAAATCTGTCTTTCCTCTAAAAGTTAATTTTACTTCAATAAACATTTATTGATTGCTAACTATATGCCAGGCAATGTGTTATTTGTGAGGAATTCAACATTAAATTCAAAATTATCTTTCCTTCTTAAAGCTTTCAGTCTAGTGGGGACATGCAAACACTGTTTTAAAAACGATGAGGGCCCTGACCGGTTTGGCTCAGTGGATAGAGCGTCGGCCTGCGGACTGAAGGGTCCCAGGTTCGATTCCAGTCGGAGGCATGTACCTTGGTTGCAGGCACATCCCCAGTGGGGGATGTGCAAGAGGCAGCTGATCGATGTTTCTCTCTCATCGATGTCTCTGACTCTCTGTCCCTCTCCCTTCCTCTATGTTAAAAATCAATAAAATATATATTTAAAAAAATAAATAAATAAAAAAGATGAGGGAAGTGAAACAGAGAGAGGTTAAGGAACTCCCGAAGTCACCTAGCTCACTAGGGCCGGGGCAGGATTTGAACCCAGGATCTCAGGGCCACATTCCTAGCCACAGCAGCTCCACTCCGGTGAGCCCCATTAGCGACAGAAACCCAGATTCCGAATCACCACATGTCCTGAGTATGTTCACAAGTTTGAGAATTCTTCATGATTTTAAGCAATAATATTCTCACTGACTTGTCACCAGTGTGATAGGAAATAAATCTGTTATTTTATTAAAATAAACATGATTAACCTTATAAAAAAACTGTTTGAAAAAATATTTCAGTTCAGTGTGATAAAGGCTGTAACAGTAACAAGACTACATCCTTGACCAAAGTGTGGTCCGGCACCTATAAGCCCTTTCTCCACCTGAACTAACCCTGGGGCTTTGTCCTCAGGCCGCACAGCTGAGTTTCAGCAAGAATTCCAGAACTCATGGGCCCCCCAGGCCTTCCTTCAGCAGGAATTCTGTTGGGTCAGGTTAGCAAGAATTCCCCTACCCTTGATGCCGCCCTCCTCTCAGTAATTTCCCATCCACTGACCCTATCCCACCCTGCGTCTTGGCTATCAACCCCCACTGTCCTTGCTGTAGTCAGAGGTAAGCTCCATTCTACAGCAAGGTGTCTTCTCCCACAATGCAACATTTCCTAAGGAAAATCTGTTTTTACCACCTTAAAAAAAAATCTGTCTTTTCTCTTACTAAGACAGATTCAGGCCCCTAACTACTGACTGTAAAGAGGGTAGAAGAAAAGTTTTCCTTCTTCAAAAGACTGAAAGGCAGTATTTTTTTTAAAATATATTTTATTGATTTTTTGCAGAGAGGAAGGGAGAGGGATAGAGAGCTAGAAACATCGAAGAGAGAGAAACATCAATCAGCTGCCTCCTGCACGCCCCCCAGTGGGGATGTGCTCGCAACCAAGGTACATGCCCTTGACCAGAATCGAACCCGGGACCGTTGAGTCCGCAGGCCAATGCTCTATCCACTGAGCCAAACCGGTCAGGGCAAAAGGCAGTATTTTAAAAAAAAAGATGTTATTAAAGAATGAGGTAAATTTCCTAAAAATAAAAACCAATTCACACATCAATCTTACCACCATCATAATGATTTCCATCCTTCATAGTTCTTCCTGGTCTTTGCACAAAGATGGGTATACACTCTTGTATTCTGCCTTATTCACATATATCCCATAGATTCTCTCTTATCTCCACATGGTCTTAATTATCTCAAAGAGCTGCATAATCAGCCCGGGCTGGTGTGCTCAGTGGTTAGTGTCAACCCGCACAGGGAAGGGTTGTGGGCTCAATCCCTGGCCCTGGTCTGGTTACATGCAGAAGGCAACCAATTGATGTGTCCCTCTCACATCGATGTTTCTCTCTGTCTCTCTCCCCACCTGCCTCCCTCCCTCCCACTCTCTAAAAATGAATGGAAAAAATATTCCCGGGTGAGGATTAATAACAACAAAAAAACAACAAGTAAGTCAGCCTTAAAACCAAAGAGGAAAGCAAAAAGGGGCAACACACTTACTGGGAATCTCCAGGCTGGGGTGGATGGCAGCCACACTCCTGACCATGGGCGGGGAATGCCGTCCATCCACCAAGTCGGACTCGGCGTCCTGAGCTTCTCCGTGAATCACCGCGATGCCCAGCCGCAGACGCTCAGCAAAAGACTGTGCCCTGAGGCAGAGCATGAGACAATTAAAAAACATCTCAGCACCCGTCTTCTGTTAACATCAATGGAAGAAACATTAAAAGACCATAAATAAAATGTAGTTTCCCAAAGAATTAATGAAAAACAAGAGAATAAAATAATCACAGAGTCTTAGGCTCCAGGACAAACACGTCCCTCTGGCAATGGGCACCAATGAGTGCAGAGCAGGGCCCTGGTCTGCATTCAGCCCACTGAGTGAGCTGCACAAGGTAAGTAACTTCCGCTAAACCTGCTTCCTCCCTTGTAGCTGCTAATTCTCTATAGTGAGTACAAACCACATGAAACAAAGTGCATTAGAAACTCAAAGTACTGCCCAGTCGGCATGACTCAGCGTCGACCTATGAGCCAGGAGGTCACAGTTCAATTCCCAGTCAGGATACACGCCTGGGTTGTGGGCTCAATCCCCAGTCGGGGGCATGCAGGAGGCAGCTGATCAATGACTCTCTCTCGTCATTGATGTTTCTATCTCTCTCCCTCTCCTTTCCTCTCTGAAATCAATAAAAATATATATTGTTTTAAAAAACTCAAAGTATTAAGCATCAATTTTTAAGTTTTATTACGTGTAATTGATATACAATTAACTGTACATATTTAAACTATATAATTTCATAAACTCTGATGCATGTAGATATCCATACAAACATCAGCATAACCAAGACAATGAAAGTATTTATCTGACAAACGTTTCCTTATGCCCTTCTGTAATTTCTCCTTCCAGCACCAGCCACCAGTGATCCGCTTTCTGTCACCGCAGATTTCAGACGTGGAATCAGAGCACGTAGTCCTCTTGTGTCTCACTTCACCCGCTCAGCATAACGCTCTGGAGGTCCATTCGCGCTACAGTGTGCGTCAGCAGGCCATCCCGTACATTGCTGAGCAACAGTTCATTGTAGAGGTCTCCACAGTTTGTCCATTTACTTGTTGATGGACTTTGAGTTGTTTCCAGTTTTGAGCTATTACAAAACTGCTGTGAACATTCATGTATAAATCTTTGTATGGACTCATGCTTTCTTTTCTCTTGGGTAAATACCTAAGAGTAGAATGGCTGGATCATATGGTAGGCATATATTTAACCCTTTAAAAAAAAACAGCCCTGGCCAGTGTTGCTCAGTGGTCACAACATAGGCCCATGCACTGAAGGGTCTTGGGTCAAGGGCATGCACCTTGCCCACAGTAGGCAACCAGTCAATGTGTCTCTCTGTGTGTGTCTGTCTCTCTCCCTCCCTCCCCCTCCCTCCCTTCCTCTCTCTCTGAAAAGCAATGGCAAAAATACCCTCAGGTGAGGATTAACAAAAACAAAAAAGGACCAAAGTGGTTATACCATCTTTCATTCCCATGCGGGTTCCCATTCCTCCCCATTCTCGCCAGCACTTGGTGTGGTCAGTCATTTTAAAATTATCCAGTCTAATGGCCTGTAGTGGTACTTCATTGTGGTTTCAATTTGGATTTCCCTCAAGACAAATGGTGTTGACCATTTTTTCATGTGCTTATTTGCCGTCCATGTATATTCTTTGGTAAAGGGTCTGTTTATCTTTTGCCAGTTTCTTAATATGTCCTGAATATAGGTCCCTTATCAGATATATGCTTTACAAATATTTTCTTCCAATCTGGGCCTTCTCCTGTCATTCTCCAAATGTCTTCTGGAGAGCAATTCTTAGTTTTGACAACACCGAATTTAACAATTTTTTCTTATGAATTGTGCTATTGGTGTCATATTTATGAAATCTTTGCCTAAGCCAAGATCACAAAGATTTTCTTCTATGTTTTCCTCTAGAACTTTTACAGTTTTTATTTTATTTTTTATTTTTTTTACCTTTTGCCTAGCTTTTCTTTCTTTTTTTTTTTTTGCTTAAAGTATTACAAAGAGTATTACATATGTCTCCTCCCGCTCCCCCCCCCCTTGACAATCCCCTGGCCTCCCCTACCCCCCAATGTCTTATGTCCACTGGTTATGCTTATATGCATGCATACAAGTCCTTCGGTTGATCTCTTACCTCCCCCCCTCCACCACCTTTTACAGTTAGATTTTACATTTAGGTTTATGATTCATTTTTAGTTAATTTCTGTAAGTTATATGAGGTATCACTCGAGTCATTTTATTTTACACATCAACATCCAATTATCCCATCACCCATTTGTTCAAGACTTTTCTTTTTCCACTAACTTGCCTTTGCACATCTGTTGAAAACAGTATGACAGATACATATGGGTCTATTTTGCGCCTCCCGATTTTGTTCTCCTGGTCTGTATTTCTATTTTTATTCCAATAGCTCATACTCATGTTGCTTTAGCTTTATATGAGTCTTAACTTCAGATAGTGTTAGATCTTCAACTTTGTTCTCTTTCAGGTGTTTTGCCTATTTTAGGTTCTTTACATTTCCATATGAATTTTAGAATCAGCCTGTCAATTGCTACAAAAAAGCCTGCTGAAATTTTGATTGGGGGGAGGGGGTCTCAATTCTATATTCTCAATTTGAGGAGAAACGACATCTTAACAATACCGAGTCTTTTGACCCATGAACACAGCATCTTCCTCTGCTCATTTAGGTCTTTAATTTTTCTCAGTAATGTTCTGCATTTTCAGTGTACAAGCCTTCAACATCTTAGGTTTACCTGTTCCACTTAATTTGATGCAATTTCCAACCGTTCATTGCTAGTATATAGAAATTCAATTGATTTTTGTTTATTGACCTTATAATCTGCAAACTTGCTAAACCGATTTATTAGTCCTAACTGCACTTTTGTAGGTTTCCTCATATTTTTCTACATAAATAATCATGCTACCTGCAAATTAGGACTGTTTTACTCCTTCCTTTCCATACTGGATCTCTCTCTCTTTTTTTAAGTTGCAGCACTATCCAGAATCTCCAGCACAGTGCCAAACAGAAGTAGGGAGAAGACATATCATCTCATTCCTGATCTCAGGGGAAAGCTTTCAGTCTCTCACCATTAAGTATGATGTTAGCTGTGGGTTTGTTTGTTTGTTTTTTAATATATTTTTATTGATTTCAGAGAGAAGGGAGAGGGAGAGAGAGAGAGAAACATCAGTGATGAAACGAATCATTGACCAGCTGCCTCCTACACACCACACCCCCTACTGGGGATTAGCCTGCAACCCAGGCATGTGCCCTTGACTGGAATCAAACCCAGGACCCTTCAGTCTGCAGGCCGATGTTCTATTCATCAGTCAAACTGGCTAGGGCTCCACTGAATTTCAGAGAGGGAAAGGAAGAGAAACATCGATAAAAGAGAGACACATCAACTGGTTGCTTCCTGCATGTGGCTCCTGTCAGGGCCTGGGATCAAAACTACAACCCACATACATGCCCTTTCCCGGAAATCGAACCTGCCACCCTTTGGTTGGAGGGCGGATGCTCTACAGGAGCATACCCACCAGGGCAAGCTATGGGTTTTTCATAGATGGCCCTTATCAGATGAGGAAGTCCCCTTTTATTCCTAGTTTGCATACAGATTTTACCAGAAATAGAAATGTTTTACACGAACAGTCACAGAAATTCCAAAGCAACTCGACCGTGCTACTGGTAGCACAATGATTCAGGTTAGTTTTCATCATGGGTTAGAACAGGGGTGGGCAAACTTTTTGACTCGAGGGCCACAATGGGTTCTTAAACTGGACCGGAGGGCCGGAACAAAAGCATGGATGGAGTGTTTGTGTGAACTAATATAAATTCAAAGTAAACATCATTACATAAAAAGGTACGGTCTTTTTTTTTTTTAGTTTTATTCATTTCAAATGGGCCAGATCCGGCCCGCGGGCCATAGTTTGCCCACGGCTGGGTTAGAACATAACACAGGAACTCAGATTTTTTTTCTACTCACTCAGTTATTCTAAGAAAACAATTCCAAACAACTCATTAAAGCAAGTTTTGTTTCTTTTTTAAAAAAACATTTTTATTGATTTCAGAGAAGGGAGAGGGATAGAGAGATAGAAACATCAATGATGAAAAAGAATCATTGATCGGCTGCCTCCTGCATGCACACCCTACACTGGGGATCGAGCCTGCAACCCAGGCATGTGCCCTGCCAGGAATTGAACCATGACCTCCTGGTTCATAGGTCTATGCTCAACCACTAAGACAGGCCGACCAGGCAAGTTTTGTTTCTTATTAAAGTAACATTATACTCTCAGATGACCCCTCTTATTCAAAACAACTGCTCATTCTCAAAGAACTCTAAAACTCAAGTTATTGATGAGTATGTAAACTCTACATACTCATCAATAACTTCAGAATTCTAAGGGCACTAACAACCACCATTCTGCATAGTGGTGTTTTAATTTGTAAACTCCTTCCATATGCTCCTTGATGCTTATTACAACTCTGTGAGACAGGGCAGCAGTGCAGGCACTACCCTCATTTTGCTGGTGAGGAAACTGAGGCTTGGAGAGACTGCGTGACCGGTTCTCACGGTTCTCACAAAGTCTGGCTAAGCCCCAAGTGGAAGCCCATGTCCAGACTCCTTGTTTAACTACCTCCTGCTGCTGTGGTGTCCTTTAAATTAGCTACAGCCGTTTTCTAAGGTTAGGCACTAAATGAAAAACTTGGAAGAAGCTAGAAACAGTCAGATAAAAAATGGCATATCACTAAGCCAGAAAGCACCATCTCAAACTCTAACTCTGGATGAATGTGCAAATCAGGACTTTAGAATGAAAGAAAATCACTACTACATAGTATGGGAGACAAAGCGAGCCACGAAGTTGACTTTACTATGTTAGATGCAACTAACCACAAAGGTCTCACAATGCCTTCAATGAGGAGAGCACACTCCCAAGTCCTATATGTATGAAGGGAAGACCCAGTAAATGGGCAAATCAATTCCACTGATATTTGGCCAAGACTCAAATCCTGTCATCACTGGTGTGGAAAACACTGCAAGAAGTCATTCATCGTGCCACTCCCTTCCAGTGAACAACATACAGCTGAATCACCCTGGATACCTTTCTTCA